ATAAATGTTTAATTTGTTAAGAAGGTTGGATTTAAGACGAATTCCCAGAAAATTGCCATCCTATTTGTGGAGATGGAATCATTCAAGGTTAAGAAGAATGCGATGATGGTAATCTAATATCAAATGATTCTTGTTATTTATGCAAATATTCATGTATACAATTTTGTTCAATTTGTTAATTTGGAATTTGTTTATAATGTTAAGATGGATTTATTATTAATGCTAAATTTAATTGTGATCCTTTATGCGGGGATGGTAATTTAATTCCTTATTCAACTGAATAATGTGAACTGACAGTTAATGGGGGATAGGATAATTGTTTGGAATGCAGATTTATACTAATTGAATATTGTAAAACCAGCTACTTTTCATTTTGCTTAGAGTGCGAAGTGGGATTTTAAATATATGAAAATAAATGTTTCCCTTATTGCGGAGATAAATTCATTCTTGAATAATATGAGGATTGTGATGAAGATAATTAGCAACCTAATGATGGTTGTTTTAATTGCAAATTTCAATGCATTGAAGATTGTAACATATGCACAGGAGGATAATGTATTTAAAAATGTGAAGATGGGTATGAATTTGTCAATAACAGTTGTCTTTCTGTTTGTGGTGATCAAATTATTACAAAAGAAGAGGATTGCGATGATGGTAATCTACAACCCTATGATGGTTGTTTTAATTGCAAATATTCTTGTCCAGAAAATTGTTTTGATTGCTATTAAGGTACTTGTTTAGAGTGCAATTACCAGTACTAATTACTAATTTCAAATCAATGCAAAAAGTAATTAACTTGTGGAGATGGATATCTATAGGTATAAGAGGATTGTGATGATGGAAATTATTAAGCAGTGGATGGTTGCAAGGATTGTTTAATTGAATAAAATTGGATCTGCAGTATAATTACAAGAGATTCTCCTAGCTTATGCTCATTTGTTAAAGCTCCAAACTTAATAATTAATTATATCAATGTGACATAAAATAAGTAGTATATAAGCATCTAATTTGATTAACAAGTAAAAATATAAACAACTTAACCCTTATCAGAAACTATAATATTTGAAATATCAAATATAAATAAGAAGAACTGGATTAGCAGCTTATTTATTATATAGGATGTTGGATCAGAAGTAAATTTTGGAGAATTTGTTGTCTATATAGAAATATAATAATTACTTGAATTTAGGCCAATCTTGAAAATTAAAGTAAAATAGACTGTTGCTAATATATATGATGCTGTTTTGAATAATGTTGAAAAATCAATAACATTGTAATATCCAAAATTTCTTGATGAGACACAGAAGGAATATTCTTACGATTTGAAAAATTTGAATAAATATATAATTTATAGTTTGTCTGGAGTTACTGGTTTAAGTTTACTATTAGGAAATGGGGATTTGTTTGTTGAAATTATGGCAATTCTTTAATTCTAGCAATACTTAAGATACATTAATCTTTAATATCCAGAAAATATAGAGATTTATTTTACTTTTAATGATATGATAACTATTCAACCTCTACTAAAATTTATCTATTTTCCTCAACTTTTATAGCTTACTAATATCTAGTTAAATTAAGAATATTCTGAAGGAAAATTCAATGTGTACAAATAAAACACTAACTTGATCATCAATCTTTCATGCCAAATATTTTAATTCCTAATGTTTGTACTCTTTATTCTGTGTTTTCAATGGATTAAAAAGGTTTTGTATAAATGGATATTCTGTTCTAGGTACTTTTGCTGTATGTCATCTTTATCATTATATATAAATCCAAAAATAATCTTTAAGTTTAGTTAATCCTTTTATAACATTTGCATGGAACTACTTAAATTGAAAAGATTTATGTCTTTTTAAGGATTATAAAAAGCCTTATTTCTAAATGGCTGGGATATGATATTTAAAACATTATTGTATACAAGAAACATTTTAACCAAAAATTACATAGATATTGTACAAATTATTATCGCAATCATAATACTTATCCTTTATTTTACCATTTTCCTAAATTTCTTTAAAGGTAAATCAAAATTATCAAAGAAGAACAGCTACTAAATGTTTGAAATGCTGAGTTTTGGTAGATAATTTTTCTTTCTATTATTTTTAATTTATGTATAGAGTTCCCAAATACTTTAATTAGGATTACT